TTTTTTTTTTTATCCTTTCTGTATTTCTAGAAAGCAAAACACTCCGAAATTCAAGGCAAAACCAATAGGTACAACATTAATCACACAAAGAATTTTTTTTTTTTTATTTGCTTGTATTAATCACACAAAGATTACGACAAACATTACTAATTTATTTGATTGAAAAAGAATGTTTTATAATTGATCAACAGCAGAGGATATTATTTTACTCAAAAAGAGAACCGAGGCCCCAATAAAGTGTAAAGCAAGAGCCAACTGTTCTAGTTCTTTTAAGATAAGCAGAAGTATAAGAGGTCCCAGTTGAAGTGGTGTTTCCTCAATGTAACTTAAAGTTTTGATGGGAAAAAAAAAAAAAAGCAAAAGAATAAAGGAATGAAATGACTTGCCTCCAGGATGATTCTTCTTTCTTCCATTCACATCAAATCCATGATGAAAATTGACAAAAGCAAAACAATAATAACTAAGTAGACCCACAAAACATCAGCTTTAGTCAAGTCCAATTTTGAAATATAGAAAAAAAGAGAGAACAATGGTAAGTCTAGCAGCCCAGAAACATTGGATTCTGAGATTACAAAAAAAAAGCCCTCTTTTTATAAATCAAAATATAACCCATTCAATTCTCAGAATCAAGTGAATGAAACTAGAAGATATGAACTTGGAAAAGGGAGTATGGCACTGTTTTTGTCAAGTTCAAAAATGTCTTTACTAAGAGGTGCACCTAGCTCCTACCAAATTTTTATCTAATTTCCAACACTAACAAAACAAGAAAATCAAAAACAACACAGGGAATAACAAATATCACAAGTCCAAAAGAAAGAAAATAAAACCCAAATTTAGCAAGAACAGGTCTTAATAGTTAACAACTGGATAGAAACTTAACTACAAAAACTGAACATTTAAGATAATGATGTGAGAAATTTAAGAAGCATACCAGCCAAGAAAACTGAAGGCAACTGGCAAGATTAGGGCCTGAAATCCAATACCAGCATTGAGGTTATGGAAAGCAGCGTAGTGGGCATTGCCATTGCGAGACTCAGTAATGGGAAGCCAAGCATCTTGAGGGTTGAGCTTTGTGAGGTGACCCACCTCCTCCAAGTAACCCTTCATGTTGATGAACACCCTCTTCATTGGTGTCCCTATAGGGCTCAAGAACCGAGGGGATATAAACGATGACGGCGTCCATGACTTGGCCTCTTTCGACGCCGGAATCCTTGGTGATCTCTGCCCCGAAGGCGTCAGTATCTCCGGCGTCGATGCTCTTGGTGTCGCCGGTATTGATATAAGCTCAGTCTCCGGTCTCTCCTCCATTCCCTCTGTCTTTTTCTCTCTGAAACTGTGAGAGTATGACAATATGACTGACTGTTGGTGTGAGAGAGAGATGGGTACAAGATAAAATAATTGAGAATGGCTTTTGTTCTTTCTTATATGTGTTTTTTTGCTTTTTGGGTTCTGTTGGGTGGTCAGATTCAGATATGTATCAGAATGTGTGGGACTAATTGAGTGAAATGAAGAATTTTGAGAGTGACCACTGACTATGTTCTGTATTGCAAACCCAAAGCTATTACAGAGATTTATAATACACCCAACCCCCAAGCATAAAAGGACTGGAGTAGTATGAAAGTTTGAAAATATATATGATGGTCACCGTACGTGGGCAGTTCCTTCACGAATCCGCATGAATTCCCGACGGTGTTGATGGATTTTCCGGCGACAGTAACTGTGGAAACATGAACTTAAAAATGGACTAAGCCCGAGTTCGATTGATGCTTTAATATGTGTGTGAGAGTGACAGTGTGAGTGTGGGAGTGACCGAAGACATATAAATACGGAAGGGTGACTGTGGGAAGGGAAGGGACTAAATGTTAATTGTAGGGCAAATTACACTTTGTATACTAAAAAGTTTTAAATTTTTTTATTTCAAGTTCTTAAATATTAAATTTTTATATTATATCTTCAATGTATTAAAAATGTTACAATGTGGTTGTTCTATTAACTTTCTGTTAATTTTTTCGTTAGTGTCAATGAATTAACTTTTGACCAAAAAAAAATAACGGAAGTTAATAGAAAAATTACATTATTATACTTTTGATACATTGAAGGTGTAATATGAAGAATTGAATATTTGATGATATAAAATAAAAAATTTAAAATTTTTTAAGGTGTAAAGCGAGAAAAACCCTTAATTGTATTCTAATGGTCGTGGGTGTGCGGACCATTTTAGGCAAATTTGGATTAATTTTTTATCCATTCTGGTCAAAGTCGGATCATTTATGCAGAGAATAGAATATTTATAAAAAAAAAAATTCTCATAGTCTAGTTCTAAAAAGTTACGAGAGAGTTGAACTCAAAGTACAAATCATTTTTGTTATCTCTTGTGGATCACTACTAATCTTAATTATAATTAATTAAATCAATAATTTATGTCAATTAATTAAAGTCTATATAATATTATTGGCGGATGTATGATTGTGTAGGGAGGAGAATAGTGCAGCTTAAGGTGTGGGGGGTAGAACCCTGCTACGCTATGATGCAGGGAAGGCATGGCGTGGGGCGGGTAGAAAAAGTCAAACGAATCAGAGTACTTATGATAATTCTATTTTGACAGATGAAAGTAGTTGGGGTCCATTGAAAGCTTACCACAGCATTATTCTCCCAAAATTTTCAGTAAGCGGGCGTGGGCGCGTTATGGTTGTAATGGCATTTAGCGGTTTTCGATGTCAGCGAGTAAATCAATGTTTTTACGTTTACTGCGAGTTTGACCAAGGACATGGTGACGTGGCATTATTATTTTTTATTAAAAAAGTTATTTAAATTTTATGTATTAAATTAATTTATTCAACTAGTGGCATGTCATCATTTTTTTATTAAAAAAAATATTATTTAAACTTAATTCAGTGTAATCATTAATTTGAATATAAATTTTATTTAGTTTAGAAACTTAATTCAATTATAATTAATTTAACAACTACATTAATTAAATTAAGTCATTAATTAGATTATCATGTCTTGTAGCATTGAGCTTTTTACCGTATTGCTTATCACTGACGGGTAAGGTTGATAGTCAAATGAGCTCGAGTCTAGTCAAAAAAATAAGTTTTTTTGTTTGACCTTATAAAATTGTTTAGGTTTGGCTCGTTTAGAGAATGAGTCGAGCCTAAAATAAGTAAAACTCAAGTCAAATCTGAGTATTTACACATAAACGAGACAAGATTGTAGAGTTCGAGATGAATCTGTCAGACTCATTTTCCAAACGAGTTTAAAATTTTTTGCAAATTCGACTCATTTAGAGAAATAAGTCAAATTTAAACGAGCCGAACTCGAATAACTCAATTTGATTAACAATTCTACCAACAAGGGTTGATTGAGTGGGTAAAAATTTAAATTTTCTCACTTAATATTTAAAGTCGAGTCTTTATTTGGGAGAGTTAAACTTACTCTTTAATGTTTATAGCACGTGGTAAAACCTTAACTTTGGCCTCGATATAAGGTGTAATGGGGTCTTTTACAAATAATTGTGTGATTTTGATAGACAATGCTCGTCGGTGGATATGTGGAGTACCTTATTTGTATATCTATTTTTTGTACAAACAAAAATTATCTAATTTTATATACCAAATTAATATAAGTAGTTGGATTAATGAATCTCACTTACTCCCATTAAATATTCAATTCATAGAATTTTTGTTGCATTATTTGAGATACAACATTTGATAAAACTCATTTATAATACATAGTTGTATTGTTTTCTTTTGGATATTAACTTATCGCTCGATAGAATTAATGATTATGGTACCGATTTGTTTCACTATAAATCTTAATTTAGGTAACTTATAGTCCTTAATCAAAAAATTAATAAAAATGACTTAAATTGTAAAATATTTATAATTTCATCTCCTAATTGAATTAAAAAAAATATGATACTAATTTTGTTGTCGGCACTAAAATCTTCTTCCATAGTGAGAAATCATCCCACACATTCCTTTTGGATTTATTATTGAAATATAAATTAAGATTTAAGTAAATATTTATAAATAGTGCATATTAATTTTATATAATCAAAAGATTCAAACTTAAAATATATAAATTTACATCTTGTTTTTTATCTGATTATTTAAAACAATAACACAAATTTATTTTTATTTAATCTTTTTTATATATAATTAATATTAATTTAATATATAATAGGTAAATATTAAAAAATATATATATATAAATATAATAAATAAAATCTCACTCCATTGTTATGAATCTTATGATGTGTAATCTTGGATGGCGCGTGGATAACACGGCTATTGTTTGAAAGTATAATTTGTGATGTGGTCCCACCACCCTCGGTGTTTGCTGTGGCGGTCACTTTGGGAAGAGGGGAGACAGGCTTACCCCGACACAGCTCACATGCGACTCGGCTCGCGTGGGCTGCAGAGTTAGTAATTGCACATCAATTACACTGAATCACGCTGCTTAAAATTGTATCTTGCCCCCAAAGCATTGCCTCTTGCGCCGTGGGACCCCCTCAAAATTGAGATCCCCTACAAGCGTGAAAGATACAAATTGGATATTTTGAAGTTGGATTTGACTCGAAGATTAAAATTTTATTTCGAAAACGTTTGAAATATTTTTTATTTTTAAATTGATCGAAATGAATTATTGATGAAATTGAAATTTTAATATTTTCAAGTGTTTTATAATCTTTTGAGATATTTTAAAATATTTCAATACATTTATACAATTATTTCGAAATGTTTCAAAATATATGAAAATATTTTAATATATTTTGACTAAAATTTTGAAAAAATAATTATTAAATTTTATATTTTTTTCATTATGTATTTGAAACGAGACGAAAGTTTATTTTTCTTAGGTAACTGAAAGTCTGAAACAATGCAATGAAATAAAATTTTGATTATTAATTTGACTTAATTGATGGATGAGGTACACTAACGCAATTTGTAAGAAAATATAATTTTTAAGAATCTAATTATAATTAAAATTTAGAATTAATTCTAAAACAATTTTAAAAAATTATATTATATTATAACTTCTAAGATTCAAGTTATAATTTAAGGAATGTCAAGATTTAGCTTTTTATTGTGTTAGGAATTGATCCTAAAAATTTTAGGGTCAATTATTGTAAAAACTTCAAAATTATATAAAAACTCATAAAAAATGTAGTTGTGGTATATTACTCTTGCTTTAAAATATGTTGTGGTCGACATAATGTCTCAATCGATAAATAGTTTTCAGACGATTGTTTATGAATGAATTCAATTGTCTTATTTCAAGATTTCATTTAATGAAATTTTAAAGCAATGAGCACACAAAATAATGAATTTATAAAAGTAAACTCCTTTATTAATCCAATCGAATAGATTTCAATTACATAGAAACTTAATTTTTAAAACTAACTGTAACAGTTCTACTCCTAAATGCCCTAATTGTGAGTTTTGTAGAGTTTTTTTTTTTGTTATTGTTTTTTTCACTTTCTTCTTGTCCGTCTTTTATAGCCACTCCATTTGACGGTTTCTCTATTCATCGACGATTAATTGACCCTTGTAACTCTAAGACAGTTGCTCCATTTTCAAGTGAGACCATGACCGATCATTTCCTGCATCTTTTTCAAATTTTGATATGTGACAATTCTTTAATATCTTTAGGATTGTAAACTACCCGTATATCAAATATTCTTATAATTTTATATTCTTAGTCTAAACAACTACTAAATTTTTTTAGTATCTTGACTTTCCCCTATGAAATTGAGTTAGATTACCAAAATTGTGTGTGTGTGTGTGTGCTTGCNTACAATTATTTCGAAATGTTTCAAAATATATGAAAATATTTTAATATATTTTGACTAAAATTTTGAAAAAATAATTATTAAATTTTATATTTTTTTCATTATGTATTTGAAACGAGACGAAAGTTTATTTTTCTTAGGTAACTGAAAGTCTGAAACAATGCAATGAAATAAAATTTTGATTATTAATTTGACTTAATTGATGGATGAGGTACACTAACGCAATTTGTAAGAAAATATAATTTTTAAGAATCTAATTATAATTAAAATTTAGAATTAATTCTAAAACAATTTTAAAAAATTATATTATATTATAACTTCTAAGATTCAAGTTATAATTTAAGGAATGTCAAGATTTAGCTTTTTATTGTGTTAGGAATTGATCCTAAAAATTTTAGGGTCAATTATTGTAAAAACTTCAAAATTATATAAAAACTCATAAAAAATGTAGTTGTGGTATATTACTCTTGCTTTAAAATATGTTGTGGTCGACATAATGTCTCAATCGATAAATAGTTTTCAGACGATTGTTTATGAATGAATTCAATTGTCTTATTTCAAGATTTCATTTAATGAAATTTTAAAGCAATGAGCACACAAAATAATGAATTTATAAAAGTAAACTCCTTTATTAATCCAATCG